CTTTAAATTTTAAGTAGCCAATCTTGATGTGTGTTAGGTTCGCTTCATTGTTGGAGGGGATGGACCTAAAAGAGTGCGTTTGGAAGAGATGAGGGAAAAACACTCTCTCCAAGATCGAGTTGAGATGTTGGGAGCTGTCCCACATGCTAAAGTACAGTCAGTACTAATTACAGGCCATATTTTCTTGAATAGGTATATCTCATTCTTTTTTCCAAGTGCACTAGATACCTTGCATGCAATTTTTATGGGAGAGTCCCTTGCTGATGATGTTGTAAACCAATTTTTAAAATGTGTTTATATCATTATATGCCACAAAGATTATGTAACCTGAAAATAGCAAAATGTCTATAAGGATAAGTTGTTTCCTTTATCCTAGACCCATATTTCACTTTACCTGATTCTGACATTTTCTGCACTAGCTCTTTAACAGAAGCATTTTGTATAGCTATATTAGAAGCCGCAAGTTGTGGATTGTTGACTGTCAGCACACGTGTTGGGGGAGTTCCAGAAGTATGATTATGATACTTTCTTTGCTTCAAATGTTTGTAGCTTAGTTAATGTGAACAGGGTGGATTAATTTAGTTCTCATGTTGGTTAATGGTCCATCAGGTTCTTCCAGATGATATGATTGTTCTTGCAGAGCCAGATCCTAGTGATATGGTACAAGCAATCACAAAGGCAATACACATGATTCCCCAGATTGATCCACTAGTTATGCACAACCGTGTAAGTAACCGAATCTGATGCTTTCTTTTAGTGCTTTTATTATGATTTGGAAGTTGGTGATTCTGGGACTCTGGAGTACCTAATCATAATATTATACAACCATGGTACCTCACGGAAATAGTCTGTCTTTCTTATCCAGATTAAGAAACTATATAGCTGGCATGATGTTGCCAAGAGGACAGAGATTGTGTACGGTCGTGCTCTAAAACACTCAAATCCTCCACTACTGCAGCGACTGTCTAGGTGTGCATTTTTTCTCAAGTGCAATTTTTTGGGTGCTCATATTGGTTAAACTTAGGAGGGTGGTGGTGATAGTGTGACACAGTCTATTTGGACATTTCTAAATGGGAAAACTAATCCCTGATGGATATCTTATGCAAGTTATATATAAGTCTTCCAAGTTTATATTGCAAATAGAATTTATTTGGCCCATACCAATCATGTAGCTATGTTGATTTTATGATTTGCATTTTGGTTTTACATTATCCATCATGAAATGAATATGACAATAACAACTACTTCAACTTATTGCTGTCTCATGATATTTTCCATGCAAGTGGATATAACGGTTATAACCTTATGGTGTTGAGCGGTTTTAGTTTTCCTTCTCATTATTCATTCTTAAGAAGCTTGCACCTGAAGGGATTTAAATGGAACTTTGCCAGAGTTTTCTTTTTCCATTTGTTTTTAGTATCAGTTAATTTTAGATAATCATATAGCACTATAAAATTTCATGCCATTGACCCCAACTAGTTGGAATTAAGGTTGTGATGTTAAAACTTTGTTGGTATAATATTTTACGTGAATTTATCATGTTTTTTTTTTGAGAGTGAAGTTATCATGTTAAATAACTTTAGGTAATCACATATATAACCACATTGCAAATCATAATAATAACTATGCTCGTTTATTGGGAGAACACTGCATCAGCAATACTGGAAAATATCAAAATAGCTGTGAACCTTTGTTTGGTCATCTTGGTAGGTACCTCACTTGTGGAGCTTGGGCAGGCAAACTGTTTTACATAGTTATGTTAATTGACTTCTTGCTATGGCATCTACTGCGCCTGTGGCAGGTGAATATATCTTTGATGTCTTGTTTGTTTATTCCTTTGTATATCCCATTTTAATTGTTCTTTGTGATTCTTTACTAGCCTGACAATGAGATTGAGGTGGTACCAGACATTAACTTGTTGAAACATCAACATGGGAAGATGCCACTCGGTTCTAACGAGGAAAACACTTTGAGGTCGAACTCGGCTCAAAGTTAGTTATAAAAAATTGTAACCGATCCAAACTTGTTTGAAAATCTTCATTTGCCCAACTTGTTCTCAATCTCATTACTATTCCACGTCTCAATTAATTTGCAGATCTGAGTTTTAATGTGAGGATAAGAGGATTCACTTGCTAGCTCTCTTCATATCCCCTCCGTGATAGTAGAAAATGTATGGATTTAAACATTTCCTAGTTAGATCGCTACTCACCTACTTGGACCTCGGTCAAGGGTCGTGTAGTGAGCAGGGCTGGTTACTCAGACAGTCAAGTCAGACTTGCAATAAAAACATAAATGCCCCAGAATTCTAGCAATATTTTAAGTCCTATAATTTGTAAAAACGAATAAAGTAATCTTACTCCTAATAATGAAGTTGCAACATATCCAGATAAAATCATAAACATTCAAACTTTCAAGAAAATAAATCACCTAATAGTACTTAATTTTGAACTCTTTCTAAAACTAATCTTCATTGAATTCAAAGCTATTATATTTTCAATTTTTAAAATACCTACAAACTACTCATAAATGCTATTCCATATGTCCTTTAAAATTGACATTTACTAGTTGACTCATTGAGTAGAAAATTGTTGAGTACTTAGCGAGTTACTCCAAAAAATTTAAATAATGCGAGTCAGAGTACTAGTCAACTAGGCCTTACCCTAGTGATGAACCCGGTTCGGGCCACCCGGCCCAGGAACCAGGTACCGGTTCCGGGTCATTGGCCCGGTTTAGGGAGGGTAGCGGGCGGGGTACGGGTATGGGGAAAATGGAACCGGCCCGGCCGGTTCCGGGCCCGGTTCGGGCTTAATTCTATTTTTTTTTTTAATTTTTTTTAACTTTCCGGGAATCCGGGTTGGGCTGGGTATTTTGGGCCATTCGGGCTGGTTTGGGGGTGAGGGGGTGGGGGGTTAATTAGAAAAAGCAAACAAAAAATATATAGAGGCCCGAGGCCCGGTCCAGCCCGGCCCGGACCCGGTGGATACCCGGGCCGGTCCCGGGCCCAACCCCAAATCCCAGAAAGCCCGCCGGGCCTAGGCCGACCCGGCCCGAATCCAACCCTACCTTACCACGAGTAGCAAGCACTTGACAATTAGATAGCAAAAGTCATCCGTTCAATGAATTTATTAAAAACAAAATTTTCCCAATTATCAATTGTTAGGAACTTGGGTATCCATTATGCCAAAATGTGGGAGTCGGAATTGGGTGTTCCGACGAGGGGGCTAGGGTTATATTTTTGTTGAACACCTCTTGCAGGAATTGGTAAATCCAATTAGATAGGTTGCTCAATTGTTTTTCCCTCCCGTCGGAATTGCTATATTTGACTAGGTAGATCCTCAATTTTTCTTTTTTACAAATTATAGATCGAGCAATAAAAGCCAAAAAATTTGGCACCAAGTATAATATTTATATATGTGGTCAATTTTAATCAGATAAATTTAATCAGATAAATTTCTTCAGATAAATTTAATCAGATAAATCTTAATTAGATAAATCTAATAAGATAAATTTCTTCAGATAAATTTTAATCTTATACGTAGTAAATTTTAATAAGATAAATTTAATCAGATAAATTTTAATGAGATAAATCTAATCGGATAAATTTAATCAGATAAACGATTCAGTTAAATTAAAAGAGATAAGTTAGATGATATAAATTTTAATGAGCTAAATCTAATCAGATAAAGTTTAATCAGATAAATCTATTCACATAAATTAAGCATGGTAATGATCTCATCACACTAGTCGTTCCGCCGTATCAACATCTATCTTGACAAGGTGGGAGGACTGACATAATAGTGTATATACGCTGAATTACGAACTAGGGATACTCAAAGCGACTAATAGGTACCGAAAATGGTACTCGCAGACTGGGATGACACGTGTCGGGAACCCTTCTCACGTTGCATTAAAAACTACATTTGTTTTGTTCACTTCCATCTTAAACAAAATCGAATTTATATTTCATTTTGTGAATTTATTTCACAATACGTATGATGGATTAAAAAATGAAATAAAGTAACCAATGTTTTGTTATTCAATAAATCGAAATGCACAGTTTTCATTTTCAAATATATCATGGTATTACTTTTACAATTTAGAAGTAGAAATAAACAACTTTTCAAAAATACAAACAAATAAATAAAGTAACACTGTAAAATCGTGAATGACATTATTAAAAAAAAAAGTAGCCTAACCATGGTCGGAACACCCAAATCCGACTCCCCCTTTTTTGGAAAACCTAGTTTTTCCCGTATATTGGGAAATCGCCCGGAATTTTATGGCGAGGGGGTGGGGTGCATTTGTCCAAAAGCTAATCGACTTTCCCTCAATCGGTTTATGCTAGGGGGTGGGGTGCATTTGTCCAAAAGTTTTGGTAAGATACAACTAATACTACCTCCGTCCCACTAAGTTTGGGACAAGAAAATGTGACACAGTTATTAATAAAAGTGAGTGTATGTGGTTGATATTGAATTGATAAAGTAAGAATAAAGTAGGAATGATTTAGAACCACACAAACTTTACCAAATAAGGTATGAGACAATCTTAGTGAGACAAATCAAAATGATAAAATGAGACAATCATAGTGGAATGGAGGGAGTATTTGTTACTAGTATATTTTTTGAAAAGTAATTTGTTTATTATTACTAAAGTTATCACGTGTGGCTTGTTGTTTATGTTTATATAATAACAAATTCTGTAAGATAGCTTCTCTAACATGATCACATACGGCTCTTTTACAGGATATAGGGGTGTTTCAAACTGATTTGCTTCTGCTTCTTTTTAAAGCAGAAGCAGAATCAGAATCAGTTTAGAAGCTGGTACCCCCAGCTTCTTAAAAAACTGATTCTGGGAGTAAATTAGAGCACCAGAAGTGCTTGTGGAATTTCACCCAAACACTCCAACTTCTGCTTCTGCTCCCTGAAAGAACAGAATTAGTTTTGAGAATCAGATCCAAACACCCCCATGACCCCATAGTGTTTAACATATGAGGCAATACATTATAGGTTACAACAAACGTCTCAGATTATTTATTATTTATATTTATATTATCACATCATACATTAATTACATGAGAGTTTAACAATTATGAAAGGAAAAAAAAGAACGTGATCAATTTCTAACGTGAAACAACCCTACTCCCCTACCTATACATGAGTACACGACTATGAATAATGAGAAATCCATAATTTGATACACTGAGGTTACATATATACAAAGTATTTTGTTTAGAATGCCTCATTTTGGAAGGAGACTTTGCTGCAATCGGTCTCTCTTGTGCTCTTTATTAGGAGGATTAGAGGAATCTGATTGAGAGGCTAGGATCAGAATGTGCATAATGATCATCACAATGGCTAAGAAAACTACACAGAACGCAGCCTCTTTCCATGAGAATGGACACCATTCAAGCAACTTCACAGCGCCATAAAAAATGAGACATGACAGAGTAAGAACAACCTGCCATGATTGGGAGGAAATACCAAGAGCCATTTTTATTATATTATAACAAAAGTTATTATTATTGTAACAAAAGAGACACTTTAAAGACAATGAAAATGAAGAGATCATGAATTACTCACCACCAAAGACTTTTTTGTTCTGATACTCTCATGGAACTCTTTGTCAGTGAAAGCGCCGGTGGCAAGATGTCGCTCCAGTAAGGCATCCTTTACCAAAAAAAGATGAATTCTTAACGTGTAGCTATGAATTGCCAGGTTTTCGCAAAAAAAACGGAGAGTTCTCATAAAAGTGCAAGTGTCAGGTGACTAGTACTTCGTAAATAATAGTATCAGATAGTACATTGACACTTCACGTGTCGAGGCGCCATCTAAGGGACTCTAATAGTTCATATCATCAATGAACCAAGCACTCTAGTATTGCAACCTACTTGTTAGCCCGTGTGAATTTTATGGAATCATGGCCCCATATCCCCTATCATACTATAGTACTACTACGTCTTTGTGGAGTGCAGCCAACTAAGATAGTCTTATCTCTTTTGAGTGAAAGCCAAAATCTAGAGGTGCCATTGTTTTAGTCTTGGGCTCTTGGCACCTACTCGATACTTAAATTCTATTAAAAACAAATCTTTTATCATAAAAACATATGTAATGTGGTTCTAGAAGCAACTTCATTAATACTAAAGAAGGTTAGAATGTTAGATAATGAGTGGCTTATTAAGTGTGTGTATATATATTCTTGGGACTTTCATTTTAAGATTGAAATGTTTAAATAAATACTCTGAAGGGAAAGAAATGAGGGGTATTGTTGAGGATTGTTAACATAGGCGGGTATGAGGATTGTTAAGTCTTATCTCTTTTGAGTGAAAGCCAAAATCTAGAGGTGCCATTGTTTTAGTCTTGGGCTCTTGGCACCTACTCGATACTTAAATTCTATTAAAAACAAATCTTTTATCATAAAAACATATGTAATGTGGTTCTAGAAGCAACTTCATTAATACTAAAGAAGGTTAGAATGTTAGATAATGAGTGGCTTATTAAGTGTGTGTATATATATTCTTGGGACTTTCATTTTAAGATTGAAATGTTTAAATAAATACTCTGAAGGGAAAGAAATGAGGGGTATTGTTGAGGATTGTTAACATAGGCGGGTATGAGAAACAAAATGGGATTTAGAAGTTCTAACTTCTAATATAGTACTCCGTAATTCTTTGATGCAATAATTCATGCACTCCTATTTGCCATTTATTACATAAATTCTAAGCAGCTCTACCCCCAAAACCATTTCTCTGAACAATATAATTCATTTCAAACCACACATAGTGGAGTTTTTCATATTAATGACAAGAGCTTTGCATGTAATTTCATGAAAAATGCACCTTTGCCACGAAAATATCTTTACACCATTGGGAGATGCCACTTCCTGTTTCTGGTAGATCCTGCATCAGATGGCGTTCAATGTGAATATGCACCTGCAAATAGAAAAATTAGATGAAACCATCCATCAAAAAATGTGTTTTTTGTTGTCAAAATGTGTGGAAAGTATTTGGTGTCTTACCACCGAAGAACGTCCTCTAAGCATTCTTAACATTGTAGGTGCCGGCTCTGTTTTGGGTATGGCTACTGTTACATTGTAAATTGCTGGAACAAATGAGCGTAGCTGATGGACTGCCGCAACAAAACCCTGAAAAGTGTTTTTACAGGAAAAAAATAGAAAGATAGAACTAGCAAGTCATTGCCAAATATTACTTTTTAACTCGAGAATTAATCCCACATCGACTAAATACATACACAGACATATAAAGTATTAGACACTCCCCTATTAGGTTGACATTTTAGGATGAAACAATGAGTCTTAATAATGACAACATACTTGGCAATTCTTGTTTCGATAGAGAATTGAAGTAAAAACATTGGGAGTCGGCAAGGCAGGACTCTCACATAAGCCTACAAGTTCCATATGGTGTGTGGCTTGTGCTTCTTAAATCATACGATGTGGTGCATTTTAACATGCATTGCAAGCAGTGGCGTAGCCGGGAGGATAAATTGTGCCGGGCCGGTATAGCTTTTTTTTTTCAGACTATTTTACACAACAAAATTTACACGGAAATTCAATATTTTACTAAATTTAGAGTGGGCCAGGGCCTAGCATAATCTCCCCTAGCTGCACCCCTCCATGCAAGATAGTGCATAATAGAAGCAGACAAATTTTGATCACTATGCTTTGATATCTTATATATTACAACTGGCTCTGCTTCTACCCTGCCTACACGCCAGAATAAACATCAACACACATAAATGTGATGTGCAAACTGCAAACCTTAGTTCGGGGAATCAAAACATTCTTTGGAACAGGCAATTGAGCTGACGCAGCATACTGTTGGGCTGCTTGAAGCTTTGCCTGAGTAAAGCGTGTCCCTTCCGGAAAAAGTGCCAACCAAAAGGCACTTGGAAAGTTATTTAGCTCTTGGAAACCTGCCTGCAACATACATGAATTAAATAAATGAATGAATGAATGAATGAATGAATACATAAATAAATAAATGCATAGCAGTTTAATAAGTATACAAATCATGCACATGAAAGGTAATGTGTGATGGATACATAAGGTAACCTTTAATGTGTTCTCATCCTTATCCCAACGTCTTTCAAGGATAATATAACCCGAAAACCACATTGACCATCCTAAAACCTGCATAAATTATAAGAAATGCTTTTAGTCCCAATGAGGTTCATTTATAGAAAAAACCAACCCTATGATGTGTTTACTATAAACGTTAGTCCCACATTAAATTCAATCTTTCGTTACCCAGTTGAGCGACCTCAACAAGATCCTGAATTTTAGCTTACAAGTAGGACTAGATATTTGATTTAGCAAATAAACTTACTGGTATATATGATAGAGATTTCTTTATGATAGCTAGAGCATTCCCAAGGCAACCTGCTCGCTGCCAATCGTTTCAATGATCAATTATTAAATAGTTATAATAAGAGCACAACCCAAATGATAATGATATATTAAAAAGTCATAAGATGTAATCAACTAATGAAATGCATTTTCAAATAAAAAATAGCACTAATTTTTCAATGCAGAAATAAACTAGGAAATTCTGCTGAAGAATGATAATTAGTGCTAAGCTAATAGAAATTACAAAATCGTAATGCGGTTTACGTCAAAATGAATGAATACCTGAGCTAGGACCCATCCGACAAGCCAGTCAATGTCACTTCTGTGGTTAGAAATAAAAAGTGCATGTTCTTTACCTGAAGTTGGATTAAGTATAAGCAAAAAAGTCATCAATAGGAAAAATAATTATGACATTAATTTTAAACAATAGAAATAAACTAGCTTAGTTAGAATCTCACCCATTAATTCATATGTTTCTTGGTCTACATATAGCTCTACCTAAGAAGATGTAAACAGTAGTTAGCCACCTATTTAGTTATAAACAAACATAAGTAAGTAAAGAAAAATCCATGATAAGAAATTGCCTCCAGGGCCCAGGCACCTTTATATTTGCCCACCACTCGAAAAGCCAAACAGGCTGCAACCACAATAGTTCTACTGCTTCTTTGTTTATCCTTCTATACACGTTCTTTGAAATTGGACGAACTAGGACAAATATGATTGCCTGAAAGTGCAAACATTTAGAAATGCATTTCATAGAACCATTATATAAAATTCATTGGCCATTTTAGTAGTCTTCTATGGATATATGCTTGGCAATGTCTTTCTTCTCCAATGCTATGCTCCCTTTGTCCCATAAAATAAAAACAAGTCCTATTTGGTCATGGAAAGCCACAGGACCCAACTAACATTTTAAATTATATTTTACTATTTTATAACTTGGTTTGTCATATTTTACTTGTTTTAACAATTTTTATAAAAATTAGATAAAAAAATGTTTTTCGTCAGATGAATGGTGACTCTTTTCATATCAGTATATACAAGAAGCTTTTGAAATTAGGGTGAAGTCATCAAATTCATAGGTAGAAACTAGGGGTTTGTCGGATTGGTTTGTCCACTTTGGTTTTTAAAAATGCAAAACCGAAAACCCACCGAATAACTTAAGTCAGCTTTGGATGGATTTGGTTAGTTATTCCTTGTCAGTTTTGGCGGGTCTTAGTAGGTTTTTAAAGCTGAAAACTTTATACAGAACCACCTACGGAAAGATAGACTTCGGTTTAGGTCAGTACAGTTTTTCTGTTTTTTGTCCAACCCTAGCTGAGACAATGGTCCTTAACAGGTGCAGCAGCATTCTTTTCCCTTAACAATATCTTGAATGTCTTGTAAACAATGAGCAATTACAGAACCTCAACAATTTCAAAATTATTATTTTGAAAAGACATTGTTATTCATCGGAGAGATCTGGCATAAACGTAATCAATCTTAAAATTAAATCTCATCAATGAGCATGTACCCATATCGTAGGAGTGTTTGCCAAATCAGTTTTTTCTCTTGAAAATTTTCATTTTGTTCAATAAGCCAAGACAAAACATTGAGCATTCCAGAAATTAGGGGAAAGCGCAAAACGGGCATTGATAACCGCATGAAAATGGTACCTGAATGAAGTTAACAACGAGGCCTGAGAAGATGAAAAGAACACCCAGAGGAAGAATGAGCGCGGCGGCGATTGCCATGGCAGGGAAAAAAGACCAACATGAATCAAGAAAGGGTAAGGGTTAATATTCCCCAAGAGATAGACGAAGAGTATGTAAGGAGACCCTTTGTGAACGAAAAAGAGAGGCAAACTTTGGTCATTCGAATGGTAAAACTCGACTGCAGATACAAAGAGAGCGCCTAAACCACACCTTGCGCCATCGCGTTTTCAGAGCATCTCCAATAATAGAATAATAGAATGTTACAAAGAGAGCGCCTAAACCACAGCTTGCGCCATGGCGTTTTCAGAGCATCTCCAATAGTAGAATGTGCACGGTGCACATGTGACATGAGAAATAGCCACATAAATATTAACAAATAAATTATCTTTCTCCTTATTTGAATGATTTTATACAATTTTGGTATGTTTTTCCCTGCAATGTCAACGACAATGTCAACATCTAGACGGTCTCCTTGACATTGTAGAGAAAAACCTACCAAAACTGTATGAAATCATTTAAATAATGAGAGAAAGAATTTATTTACTAATATTTATGTGACTATTTCTCATGCCACATGTGCACCGTGCACATTCTACCATTGGAGATGCTCTCAGTTTTTCAACGGCCGGGCTTTCATCGCAAAATATATCATACACCCGGATGTACCGTGTGATTTGGTACATCCTATTTTTGTAATTACTTATAAACTTGAGGTGGTTAATTACGGAGCATGGCATTTGCTACTCTTCCTTGTCGCTGCTCTTCCGTTTGTTCTTTTTCCTTTTCTTAATAGTTACGAGTTATTTTACACTTTTTCCTTATCCACTTATCATTTGGTTGCTCCTTCTCGTTTTTCCTTTTTACCTTTTTATAGTTCTCGTTTTTCTGTTTTCTTATCTTTTAATTTTGAACTTTAAGTTTTCTATGTTTAAGTTTTTATTTTCTTTTTCATGCTTTGGTTTTTCCTTTTTCTTTTCCTTTAATTTTGAACTTTATTTTTTCTAACTTTAACATTTCTTTTTCTTGTTTCTGCTTCATTTGTTTCTTTTTTCTTTTTGTATATACTTTTGTCTTCCGGTTCTCTAATTTTGAACTCTTACTTTTTTATTTTTATGTAATTTTTCTACAATATTTTTTTCATGCAATTCTTTCAAAAATTCATATTGAATAGCAATTCAATAAAAACATATACTTTTCTCACTCTTCTATTAAAAGCTCCAATCTTCTAAATAATTATGAATATATTATTTAATTTAAATGTGCATTGATAAATGAATATACACAAATGAATATTTGAACACATTAGAGATTTCAATTGAACTTTTGAATTTTTTTTATGCTCATTTTGTAAGTTATGAATGCTCATCTGGTATTGGTTAAATGCTCATTTGTAAGTTACATATGCTCATCATCTGGTATTGGTTAAATGCTCATTTTAAAATGTCATATCAATGCATATTTTAAAATGTCATATCAATGCATATTTCAAGTCATATTAGAGATCATGATACTCAATTAAAACGTTTTGATGCTCACTCAACTAAAAAAACTTATGATTGTCATACTAATGCTCATTTTATAATTTATGAATGCTCAATCGGTACTCAATTGCACGCTTCTAATACTCAATAGAGGAGGTTTGATGCCCAATGAAAAAATGTCTTCATGTTCAACTAACAAAGCTTATTATTTTCATATTAATGCTTATTTTGTAAGTTACATATGCTAGTTAAAAGTTCATTAATGCTCATTTAACAGAAAGCGTTATTTTTATCTCAATATAGGAGGTTTGATGCTGAATGAAAATACCGTGACGTCCAACTAACAAACCTCATGATTTTCATATATATGCTCATTTTGTAAGTTACATATGTTCAATTGGTACTCATGTTATGCTCATTTTTAAAATGTCATAACAATGCATATTTTAAAAGTACCATATTATATTCGATTCACATATTGAAATTCATATGAATTGATTATAGTTATAATTTAATGAGTTTTTATAAAAGAAAAAAAAGAAAAAAGAAAGTGAATTACAATATATGAAAGTGATATCGCATTACCCATTATTCGACTCTTAATGCTCAATAGAATACATCTGATGCTCATTAACAGGCGATTTGAACTCAATAAAAACGTCTTGATGCTCAATCGGTACTCAATTGCACGCTTTTAATACTCAGTAGAGGAGGTTTAATGCTCAATGAAAAATGTCCGTATGCTCAACATATTAATGCTTATTTTGTAAGCTACATATGCTCAATCGATACTGATATTATGCTCATTTTTTATGAAGCACAGATCACGATTTTGAATATTAGACTTCTAATACTCAATATAATAGGTCTGATGCTCATTAAAAGTTCATTAATGCTCATTCAGTAGAAATCGTGAATTTCATCTCAATAACGAAGGTTTGATGCTCAATTAAAATGTTGTGATGTTCAACTAACAAAACAACTAAAAAAATTCATTAATACTCATTTTGTATGTTACGTATGCTCATCAGGTACTGATGTTATGCTCATTTTGTAAATGTCATATCAATGCATTTTTAAAAGTACTATTCTAAATTACATTTACATAATGAAATTCATAGGAGTTGATTATAAAGATAATGTAATAAATTTTTATAAAAGAAAAAATAACAAAAAAAGAAAGTGAATTAGAAGTTATGAAGCAGAGATCATGATTCTGAATATTGGACTCCTAATTCTCAATATAAAAGGTTTGATGCTCATTAAAAGTTCATTATCACTCATTTGTTACTAATGTAATGCTCATTTTTACAATTCATATCAATGCATATTTCAAAAGTATCAATAGTGGAGGTTGAAAAATCAATTAAAATGTCATGATGTTCAACTAACAAATGTTACGATTTTCATATCAATGTGCACTTTGTAAGTTATATATGTTCATTTGGTACTCATGTTATGCTCATTTTTACAATGTCATATAAATATAATTTTCCTTTTATAAAAACTTATTAAATTATATTTCTAATCAACTCCTATGAATTTCAATATGTGAACCTAATGTAAAATAGTACTTTAAAGAAAATATGTTGATATGACATTTAGAAAATAAGCATAAGATCAATACCAGATAAGCATGCACATCTTACAAAATGTTCCTAGATATGAAAATCGCAAAGTTTGTTACTTTGAATAACAACATATTCATTGAGCATCAAATATCATATATTGAGATGAAAATCACTGTTTCTGTTAAATGAGCATTATTAAACTTTTAATGTGCATCAGACCTATTATGAGCATTACAACAATTTTGATGAGCATCACGCTTATTAGGAACCTAACACTATATAAAAAAAATTATAAATATATTTATATAAATTAATACTATCATTCATAGATCAAATAAATACTTCAAAAATATGAATTACTCTTTTAATGAAGTAATAATGAGAAAAGGCAAAAGAATAGTTAATATTATAATTACTATTAATAATATGCAGTATGAAACTATATAGGATAAGTAAGATAAAAGAAATAAATATTACAACAAGACCACTTGGTGAGATGGTTGGAAGATAGCATATGCTATTATTGGTCACGGGATCGAATCCCGTCGGGGTTCCTAATTTTTTTGTGAAGGAATCCAGTTCCCTACTACCAGTCAAATTCATTAATTGGGCCGGATGTACGTACATCCGGGTGTACGATATAGGGACTCGCTTTCATCTTTCTTTCCAAACAATACTAATATTTTACTAAAAATAAAATAATAAAGGATTATTAGCTAATATGTGGGGCACATGTAGTCCTGAAAAAATATCTCATATTCCTACAAAAGTACTCACCAGCAAATGTCCCTTATCGACTTTAAATAAGTAAATAAATAAAAGTGCCGTTCGGACTGAAGTACTTACAGAGATCCCATTTTTACATAGTAATTTCTCATTACAGTTGTCATATTTTAAATTTGACATTTATCCTTTGTGGCTCCCCCATCTACTAGTTCAGCTGCGCCATCAGCACTACATGACACCTAAATGTTAGTGAGAGTAGCTGAGGAAGAGAAATCACGAGAAATAGTCATGAGATGCACTCGTGAAGGTCGTCTGACATATTTGCTCTAAAGTTTTATAATATGTCTCTATTCATTATGATGGATTTTTTAAGGAAAAATTGACAAGAATAATCCTACCTTTCACTGGTTTTCTCATAATAATCTCACCTTTAAATAATCCCAGAATAATCCCACATTTACATCTCATCTTCTTTCATTAGACCTTTTTTTGAAAATCTTATATAAATAATCTCACATTTATAGGTTATCAATAGGTCAGGGTCCAATGAAAGAAGATGAGGTGCAAATGTGAGATTATTCTTGGATTACGTAAATGTGGGATTATTATGAGAAAACCAGTGAAAGGTGGGATTATTCTTGTCAATTTTTCCATTTTTTTATACTTTTAAAACATACTTTCTCCGTCCCTTAAAATTTGGCCAAGTTTGTCCAATACGAGGAATAATAAAGTAAAAACTCTGCGATTGAAATTGGATAGAGGAGAGAGAGAGTTAACATGAACCACACACTTTTTAATAAAAAAGAAAAGTGACAAAGTGAATGGGACAATCACAAACGATGATTGACAAAATTATAAGGGACGAAAGCTATGTTTTAAACAATTTATATTAAATTTTATAGTAATGTGATGTTAAATGTGATTAATATTGATGGAAATTAAGAGTGAGAATAATCAAAACTTGAGGGGTAACTAGTCAATTTCTTAAAATGCACAATTGGAGTAGTGATTATGACCTAAGTCCTAACTCAAGCTTTATTTGGTTTAATTTGATAGAATTGTTAGAAAATAATTACAACTACGGATATTGGGCTTTATATCCAATTTTCAAATAATAATAATATTTTTTGAGCCCCATCTTATTAGGAAATCATTTAACTTTACACCTTATCCCTTCACAAAAGGGATAAGAGTCAGTTTGGTCCTCGAAGTTGCAAAAAAAGGATCAAATAAGTCTTTATATAGAAGATTCTGTCCGGACGTGCCATTTGAGGTGGCTCCCGGTGGAATTTTTTGATTAAATTTTTTGAGCATCTTATTCATTAAGTCTAGTTTACTCATACCAAATTTCAGATAAAAATTCAATCGGGAAGACATTCAAATGAATTCTTGAAGATAACTGTGCCGTTAAAAGCGCAGTTATCTTCAAGAATTCATTTGAATGTATCCCCGATTGAATTTTTAGCTGAAATTTAGTATGAGTAAACTAGACTTAATGAATAA